TCTTACATCTTTATCCAAAAGATTTATTTTTTATTTCATATTTCTTTTTGCATATAGAAAACCAATATGAGGGTTGTAGCAATGCTGTGGCTGTAAGAAAAAGTCCCCCTTTTGTCTTTTTTTTTTTGGGCGGTAAGAAAATTCCCATGTTATAGATTACTGTATTACACAAAAAAAGAATAGAAAGATAATTTCATTATTATATCGTCAATATGTGCATTACCAAGCAGGGGTTTTTTCGGGCAGATGGAACAATGTTGACTAATGTATTTATAATATTCAAGTATCAGCAACTTCCAATTTACATGTTAATGCAATATTTTAGGTTTTCCAGCTTTTATTGTCATGACACTGTCACAAGCACAGAGCAACGAAATTGATTCTCTGCATTTTTTTTTTTTTTGCGGCAACCTGGGAGCAGTGTGGGGTTAAGGGTCTTTGCTCAGAGACTCAGATCACAAGCACACTGCTCTAACCCACTAGGCCAGCAACCCCCCTTAGTTGGGCAGTGTCTCATGGGAGCAGAAATCGCACTACACAAAATGCTAAGGATCGCAGCGTGATGAAGTATAAAGAAAATAATAAAAATGAGAAGAGCCATATATCAACTGACATCATCATAATAATTACCAATATTTTTTCCATCGTAAGACTATCAAATATTGGTCTTCCTCAAAAATAACCATGTGGCCATTTTCAATTATGTTAAAAAATAGTTTACTATTTCAGACTTTTTGTGTTCTCATTGTATGCTTGTTTGTTTATATAGCATTATAGGCAACCAATTAGCATCACAAAATCCATATAAAGAAATTTAACAGCAATTAAAAAAGCAAAAAAGACCAAACAAAGCAGCATTAACAAACAAATAGTGTTTTCACATTTCTGTGTTAAAAGCCTGTCTGAAAAAAAAAAAAAAAAAGAGTCTTGAGCTTAGATTTAAATGGCCACATTCACCTATGGAAATCATTGTCTTGTTTAATCTGGAACAGGCATGATTTAGTATAACAATCACACAGTGTAGAACTTTTCTTTTTAAATACGAAGGTTACAATGTTTTTACACTGGACAGTATTATTTACGAAAAATATATATCTATCGTGATCAAGTTTCTAAACTCAGTCATAATTTTCAGTTTTCAGGTGAAAGCTTAATAGGAGCGAGGGCTGGCATTCCTTTATTACTAGCTGTTTAACAACCAGATAACATTCAGTCTTTCTTTAATAAACAAAGAGGTAGTAAAAAGGTATTCAGCATTTTCTCTGGCACCTCAATCAAAGGCCCATAAACTGAAGATAACACAATTTCAAAGGGCTGTAAAACCAAAATCAAATACAACTAAAATAAATAGAAACAACACCCATCAATTGACATACATATAACATCAACGCTAAAAGCTAACCCCATGTGGAGTTTTCCTTCCCAGATTTATTTTTCTTTTTTGGAGACAAAGAGAAAACCTCATACTATGTAATTTGAATTAATATAAAAAAGCACCTCAATGATCATTTAAATTCGTGTTGGAAAGATTTTAATCATACTACAGACGTTGTGTAGACAACATGTTCTTTAGGGGCTGTTTAATTTTTTTCCCCTTTTATTTTATGTAAGCGAAACACCTGTATCTCTACCTGAAACTGCCTTCAAATGCGCACCGTGACGTTAGCAGGCTGTGGAACTGGTTGAACAAAACTAAAAGAATAACTCTCAAAATGTCCTAACTATATCTCTCGTAATAATTAGCCGTAGTCACTAATGAGGGGGAAAGAAACAACGAAAATTACAGCGAAGCATCAACAGTTCCCAGTTCTCCTCAGCTTTTGCCGTGGATGATGATGATGATGATGGTGGTGGTGAGCTAGTAGTGTTGCTAGCAAAAAGACCAGCGGCCGAACCACAGTAGTTTAAGGACACATTTCATGGCTTCCGCCTCTATGTCAGTGCCGCTTTTTGACGAATACACAAACGCAAACATACCGACAGTAACCAGCCGAGAGAGAGCAAAAAGGGCGAGCCGGTAAATTACAAATATATGCTCGCTCTCAATAGTATCCTTACCTGCATCGACGCCATGATGGAAACCCCCCCTGCATCAGCGCAGAGCGGAGGACGGTGCGTCAGACTGTCACGTGACCAGAGAAGTTGTTTTGACAACGAGGAATAGTTCCGGCTGCTTTAAAATAGCGCTCCTTCACCCAGCTCAATCGTTTTATGTTAAATAATAAATGTATCTCGGAGTTAAGAGATGTAGCAGTAATTAAACAACAAACACGCAAAAAAAAAAAAAAAAAACAGATGGGGAATTTAAAAAGCTAGAGCCCACATGACGTCAGCCATTGACCTCTGCTGAAGGAGGGCTAAATAAACCTCCAAACTAAAACATCATGATTCACAATTGAAAATAATATCTCATAATGGATTTGTAACATTTATGATCAAATTTGACCTTTTTTTTATTTATTTAACCTTTATTTAACCAGGGGGGGGGGGAATCCCATTGAGATTACAAACCTCTTTTTCAAGGGAGTCCTGGCCAAGAGGCAGCTAAGTTACATGATAAACAAAGATACATTGAAATAAATGACAGGTACATAAAAAAAAAAAACATAATTGCAGATCATTGAGGCTGCTTCAAATTAATTCACTTTCAACTTAAAAGCATTTAAAGATAAAAACTCAGTCAACTTCCAGTTTTTTTGGGAAAAAAAAAAAACACGCACAAGAAGCTGCGTAGCTAAAGGCTTTCTTCCCTAGTTCTGTGTGGGCAAAAGTAACAGTGAGCAACAGCTGATCGTTGGATCTCAGGGCATAAAAAAAAGATTTATATATATATATATATATATATATATATATATATATATATATATATATATATATATATATATATATATATATATATATATATATATATATATATATATATATTTATTTATTTTACTATTTTTAAAGGCTGCACCTTTAAAAAAAAGATGAAATTGTCCAGAGAGCTGTTCCAAATGAAAGTTCTTTTTCTTTTACACTTGTGTAAACAAAATGACAAATAAATCTGTCATAAGAAGCCATGCTTTTCTGCGTAAGTAAGGTACAAATGTAAGAGGGCATTAATCCAAGAAGGGCCTTGTAAATAAAAGTGTACCAATGACACTGCCTTCTCATAGAGAGGGAAGGCCATCCCACCTGAGAGTACAGGTCACAGTGACGTGTCATGGCTCCACAGTCTGTGATGAACCTTAATGAAGCATGGCAAACAGAATCCAACATTTGAAGACATGAAGAAGTAGCATTCATATAAAAAAAAAGTCTAAAAAAAAAAAAATTTTTAGGCTTTGTAGTATTAGGTTTGATCAAAGCATTTACTTAATGTAGGTCCATCTAAAAAATCTGAATATAATCTAAATACATTACAATTATATTTATCTAGACCAGGTTTTTACTAAACAGAATCACATAATACATTTGAAGTTATACATCAATTTTGATGCTTAGTTTTACTGCCCAGTTAGAAATAAATTATAAGGGATGCTACACAGAACAGGAGAGAATTGGTGAATTAAAAGCATTCCATCTGGCAATCTCTGGTAAGCTATATCAAAGTATATGAATGGAAACTTGAAGTAAGGAAAAAGGTGGTAGAGATGGGTCCTCACTTCCCCTCTTGACTCTGGAACCTTGAATTCCAAGTGAAAAGAAAAACGTACTTTTAAAAAGAGCTCCTTCGATAAATGAGCCAGACCAGCCTTTTTCTTCTTAGCCTAGGTAGCACACTACTGACCCTTTCTGGGTATAAGGACAGGTTTAACAAAAGGACTGTGACAGCTGTAGCCCATCGCCTGGATACAGCTCAGACTCCTGCTGCAGTTCGCATCCTGCAAAATTCCTCCAAACTTCAGAATTCCCTTACAAGGCAACGGTTTTTAATTACTTGTGTACCTTCATCTGCCACAACTTTTTTCCCTACTTTCAACTTTCCCTTAATATTAACCTTTGTTTTATTGTTTACTTTTATTGTAAAGTGTTTTTAATCTTAAAGGTTTCCAAATAATACATCAATTCATCTTCCATCCCAGTCCAAATAATAAAATTTTTGGTTTTGACTTTTTATAATCTATATAAAAAAAAAACACAGAAATAATACTTTGTATGATTATGTACAAGTTTTAATAAAATTAAACTCGGCAATATTCTAAATCAGAAGCAACAAGGCAGAAATCAGATTTTTACAGATCAGAATTGGCCAGCTATTAATTACCATATGCATATACTTTATGTACATTTTGTTTTGTTTTTTTAACTCATCCAAAAGCTCTCATTTAGGGAATGCAAAAATTTCCTTCCAGTTGGTTGCATCACAAATATTATTTAAAAGGTTTTTGACACAAAGATTTGATAGTTTTTAATATCTGGTGGCCAATATGTATCAATATGTCCTTTGGTGCCTGAAATTGCAATTTTTGTGTTTTGATTCACCTCATACAGAAATCCAGAGCATTTATTGTACCTTTTTTTATCCTTTCGAAATGTCCTTCTATATACAAGTTAAAAACCAAAATATGATTTGTTATTTTGTTATATTTAACACCAATATGCAGCATAAAACCCACTAGTTTAGCTGTATAGCACTTAATGCAAACTGCAAAATCCAAGTTATATGCAAAGAGCCACTGTCAGAAGACAGAATGGTAACTCAAAGCTGCATAATTGACATCTAAAGCTGATTTTTTTATTTTTTGTAAGTGAAAAACTTATGAAAATTTGTAAGAAAACCTTGGAAGCATTAAAGAAATCAGTTGTACATTTAGAAATATTGGCTGTTTTAATGTGGTAACGTTCAGGTAATTATTATTTTTTTTAAATAAAAACTTGCATCTGCAGGTCGTAACATAAAAAAATAAAAAAATATTTCACAAATCTGTGGAACTTCAACAGTTAACAAGTTTTATGATACCCACTCTATAATCAGTTTAACTATGTCTGAGTTTCGGTAGAGACAATAAAACATGTTCAGCAAATGGATCTTTATTTATATTCAGAGGTGAGGACATTTCTGTGGGGAAAGGTGCAATTACCCCCTTTTCTGGCTTCCATGTTTAAATGACATTCTCAGTAATACAAGGGAAACCATAACAGAAGACAAGGAGCAAAAATGTATAATATGAAACAAATGGTATAACAATTAAATACTTAACAAAAAAAGGAAGAAACTAAACAGTTTCATGTTTTCACCACTTTTTTTTTCTTGTAACTTTAACAATCCAAAAAGTTTGCAGCCATGAGCAGTTCCAGAGCAATCTCAGGAGCGATGGGGAACTCGGGGATTTCTGTGGAGCTGTTGGTATAACGGACCTTGTAGGTAAAATACATGCAGACCTTGGAAAGGACGTGAGATGGGATCTCCCGGAAGTTCACCTCATTGGTTTCATTCTCTGCAAACTGACCTGCAGGTTGAAAAAAAAAAAAAAAAAGAAACAAAAAAAATGATTGAACAACTTTTGAAAAAACTATTTTGGCCTAATGCATGTGAGCCAACTCCTTCTGGATGTCAGATAGCTTTGGACAGTCGTGTGTGAGGGGTTAAACGCTGTAGGCTGCTAATGTGTGTGAACAAAGCTGACGTGACAAAACCTCAGTTAAAGTCAATCAGGTTTGAAATTAGAAGCCGCATCTGGACACAGGTAGTTTGACCTGATTGACAACTCCACTGGTATTTTTTGACACCAAACTCTTTAGGGGTCACTGAGACTCCCTGAGCCCCTGCTAGGTAGATCTACTGTCTCACTAATGGTTACTTTATGGTTTATATTTTCCATTTTGTTGTTGGGAAAGACTATTTATATCCTACCTAACTAAAAGAAGTCAGAAATATTCAAAGTAAACAAGAAGACAATTATCTCCACTAAGTTCTAGTTTCGCACAGATTCTTGAAAGATGGAGTGAAAGTCTGAGCTTAATGAAAACGTTCTGGCATCACTGCTGGTTTCTAGAGAATATGGCAGTTCTCGGACAAGGAATCGCAGAATAAAGGATTCAGCGGATCTTCCCCTTCGGAGAGCCTCCAATATATAAGGAACCAATGTATGTGGATATAATCCTGCTGTGTGGAGTGTCTTCACAGTGAGCCCCTCTGATCACAAATCATAGACACCCAATATGTTGGATTTTCCACTGAGCCAAGCGCATTTCAATAAAACGCTAGAGTTTGGAGTTCTGAACTTTTGTAGCTAAGTGCTGTGCGACAATAAATCAGAGACACAGATCTGGGAGGTCGGTGAGAGACGCTGCAACCAAGCCGTGATCTCTTCTCTTCCATAAGTTTCTGAGAAAATAGCACAAATATACATAAAGGGGGTAACACTCCACAAGGTTTACATAAAAAAGACAGCTGGAATTTTTTTGTGCACTAAAAAAAAAGGAAGTGGAAGTGCTGATCGCTCCACCAAAAAAAATTTGATTTTGTTGCTATATTTAACAACTCTTCAGACTACTGACAAATTGTGCATCTTTTTCATGCGTTTTAAGGAGATTCTGGTGTGAACGCATGACAGCACTGACATCCCTGGGTTTACTGTCTTCAAGGGCAGTAGGTGCGCAAGACTCTCTTTTCCCACTGAAAATGGGTCACACAAATGCAAAGCTTCTACTGATCCCTGCTGAGTTGAAAAAACAGGATGTAAATTTTAGCCTCATTTTTTTTTTTTTTACTGAATCCTGAGTGAAATCCGATTGTCTGTGGTGCGATGTGTTTGCTGTCACCTAGGGCTGGGTAAAGAAAAAAAACCATGTAATGGATTTTGAATCGATTCTTTTACATTTTTGAAAAATCGATGTCTAGGGAATGAGATCGATTAGTTTTATAGTGACGTTCGTGATGTTCACATTCAAATGAGCAGGAAAGATGCACTCAAAAAACTTCAAGCCAGACAGCTGCAAATATAGCTAATAGGTTGACTGAAGACATACTTATTTGTTTTATACAACAAATAGGGGCTGACCAGCAAACACCCTGTAATTGTTACAGATAACGCTTCAAATATGGTTTTTGCATAGAAGATAATGCAGCTCATGCATGTCTGCTGTGTCATGTCAACTTGCTCGAGTGAGGCCTTTTCACTTTTCACAAAAAAGTTTGCACTTTTGAGAAAGTTTTGTTCACATCTCAAGTTTAAACTGTCCAAATTAACAAGTTTGCACTTTGTGTTTAATATGACAGGAAAAATAAAATACATAAGTGTTTTGAAACACAGTTGAACCACTTTCTTTCTTGTAAAAACAGTATCAAAATTAATTGATTTAGAACTGTATGAATCAAAATCAAATCGGTTCAGGACTTTGGCGAAAATACCCAGCCCTACTGTCACCACACATACACACAATGTAAGAGAAAATCTCTTATCGACAATTTTCCATCTTTACGTGTGCCGTCTCTTGGGCTTTGAAAATCATCCAGCTATTTTAAAATCCTGCTGTGTAAAGCAGTCTTAATACAGAGGTTCTAAACTTGAAAACATAACGGTGAGTCTGCATTCAGCGAGTGGTTCTGCCATAATTTCATAAACTAACCCGGAAACCCCTTTCAAAGTTAAAGGGGAACACCGTTTTTTTTTTTTTTACATTGGGCCCTTGATTTTATGTTGTTATATCATGTTCTACTTACCCATATTAGTTTTGTGTCATTTGGAGCTGTTCTGAAGATATTTGGTTTTGTTATATCCAAGTAACGTCTTCCTATGGGCAACGAGTTGAAGGCACAAACTAAACTGTTTATAATTTATTCTTTATGGTACGCCAGCATTCATAACATGAATAACATTCATGAAATGTCTAATTTTGTGCTAATTAGTGTCCAATGAATTCCCATAACACCAAATTCTTAAATGTAGGCAACAGAACCTATATCAAAAAGCTTCTTAGTTAGCCAAACACGTTTATTTTTCTCAAAATATTTAATTTATTTTTCAAGCTCTATGCTATTAATTTGAAGAATAACTAAATTGACTTAATATATAATAATCTTAGTCCTCACCTGGCCCACTTAACATAGCTTTGATGGTTCCAGATGTCAAGGCATGTTCTCTTTTCACAATAAACTCATGGCCATCTGAGGAGATGAGTTTCACATACATGGCATCTGGCCCTTCACAGCCACCGTAGGTTCTCTCCTCACCATCTGTCAGGTCAATACATAAAGATAATATCATACAAATGCAGATTTCACAGAGAAAATGTTAAAACAATGCAAAGCTTCGCTCTGTAGTTTAGTTTTTCAGTTAACAAATGAAATTTTTTTTTGCCTTCGAATCAATTTCATGAACTGATCTAAGCGCTTTTACAAAGAATATATGAATGTGTAAAAAATCTTACCCATTGTGTTCCGGGATTTCTGTTAATCCTAATGCATAGAACGGGAAAATAAAGGATATTATTTATCTTGCTTCAAAGTTGAGCTGAAAAAATATAGCAAACAGGATAATACATCATTAAGCTAACATGTAAAGCTATTAAATGAAGAGTATGGTCATTTTAGCCTTTGGATTTATTGGGAGGTGATTTTTGACAGTCACTGTGAGACGTCAACTTCAGCAAAACACAAAATAGTCAGAGAAATGAGAAGACATTCTCTAGTTTATAAACTATTATTTATGATACTAAAATATACTCGACTTATTTTCAAATACTCCAATCATATCAACTACTGTTTGATTGTTTCACAATGTTTTAAAATGAGTTAGCGCTAGCTGTGCTAGCTTTAGAAGCTAACATATTTCTAAAAGTCAAATCATCTTCATAATAATAATTGATTTCTAGGTAAACCACAGCCTGAACATTTAGTATTAAAGGTGAAAGCATTAACGGACATCAAACCGAGACATAACATAGTTCTTACCGTCGTGTGGATAACTGAGCGACGGAGATTAAATTTCAGCTAACGTTAGCCACCAAATGTTTTCACCCGGAAGAACTTTGCTGGTAAGAGGTCCGCAGAAAATGTGTTCCGTGTTGAAATTTTTACCTACCATGTAACTTCATGGTACATGGTACAAGGTATGTATATATTTATTTTTATTTATTTATATATATATTTTTTTTACATACATATATATATCTATTTATAGATATATATATGTATGTAAAAAAAAATATATATATAAATATATATATATAAATATATATATATCTATATATATATATATGTATATATATATATCTATATATATATATATCTATATATATATATATATATATATATATATATATCTACAAGGTATGTATATATTTATTTTTATTTATTTATATATATATTTTTTTACATACATATATATATCTATAAATAGATATATATGTATGTATATATATATATATATATATATATATATATATATATATATATATAGATATGTATATATACATATCTATATATATATATATATCTATATATATATATATATGTATATATATATATCTATATATATATATATATATCTATATATATATATATATATATATATATATATATATATATCTATATATATATAGATATATATATCTATATATATATATATATATATATATAGATATATATATAGATATATATATATATATATATATAGATATATATATATATATATAGATATATATATATATATATCTATATATCAAAATGAATGAACCCGATCAAATTACACATACCTATCATGTTGACACAGCTTTCTTCTCACTTTTTTGTTTTTTTATCTCTTTGCTCAAAATACATAGGGCTCTTATTCACTGGGTGATTGCCTCTCTAAAAGACTAGACTAAACCCTGTCGCTTTAAAGCAACTTTATAATTAATTTGCTGCCATGGTTGATTTGGAAGACCCATTTGTTTTAACATTTGTTTAAAGTTTTAACTTCCTGATTGATGTTTTTGATGTAACTGATATTTCATCACTCACCAAATAAGAAGATGGTGCGCCTCACTCTGCCTTTCATCTGTCTGTTTCTATAATTCAACATGAGGAGGCAGTCAATGAGTCTGAGTTGTAATAAGTCACCAGTTCCTGATGGTGTAAGCCCCAGAGTCCTGAAGGTCTGTGCAGACTACCTGTGCGATTCAATAGCACCTCTTCAACCTTAGTCTGAGCCTGGAGACAGTTCCAGAGATGTGGAAGGCCTCCTGCCTTGTTCCAGTACCAAAGAAGACTCAGCCGACAGACTTCAATGAATGAAGGTTCAATGAATGAACCTGTTGCCCTCACATCCCACATCATGATGGTCCTATAGAAACCTCTGTTGGTTCACCTCAATAAACAAACCAGCAGCTATCAGGACCCCCTGCACTTTGCTTATCGCTGTGGAGTTGAAGATGGCATTATACACCTACTTCTGGGGGGTCAACTGTCTCATCAAGTAGTTAGCAGTAAAGGAGCACCACAGGGGACAGTACTCTCACCATCCTTTTTTGCTCTGTACATCTCTGACTTTCAGAACCACACACAGTCTGGTCATCTTCAAAAATACTCTGATGACACTGCAGCCATTGGGCCCATCAGAGATAAAGAAGAAGCCAAGTACAGGAAGCTATTGAACCCCTTTTTGCCATGGTGTGGAAACATTCATCTGATCCCAAATGCCTACAAAACAAGGGAGATGATTGTAGATTTCAGAAGAAACAGGAACAAGTTCAATCCTCTTCACATCATGGGAGAAGAAGTGGAGGTGGTGGAGGACTATACACTCACAAAAATATTTCACCAAAATTTTAATCAAGTGTACTTAATCAAAATTAATATTAATGAGTGTATTTATTGCAAATACATAAAGTTCATTGTTTGAATTGCATAAAGTTAGCATGTTTATTGTGCAATTCAAACAATACATATTTTTGTGAGAGTAAATACCATGGTGTTCACCTGAACAACCGATACGACTGAAGACAAAACTGTGAAGTTGCTTATGAGAAGGGACAGAGCAGACTGTACTTCGTAAGGAAGTATAGGTCCTTGGGTGTTTGCAGCAAGATGCTACATATCTTCTATAACTGTGTGATCTCCTCTGCCATATGAAAATTCACCATGTTTTACTTTTAATATTTTTAACCAGTGGGAAATTTACCAACATGCTAGTCATATACCATTGTTTAGGTGCAAGAATTTATGAATCCATGTATGTGTAAAAAGGCAAAATTTTACGTCAGTTTAGTTTATGACATTTTAAACCCAAGGCAGACATGTTTAAAACAGAGGTTTTGGATGGGATCTTCTAACAAGCCTAAAAGGGTTTCCATGCTGCAGCTTTTCCTAAATGTAAGAGGTAGAAAATTTTAAGCATATAGCAAAACTCAATCATTCAACCATTGAAGGAGTTCAAGTGATTAATGCAAGTATTTCTATTAATTTTTGTTCTTTCTTTTTTCTTATAATAACTAGTAGTTGAGCTTTTGATCCAAAAGGGGGCGCCTGTGCCATGGATGGCTTCATCTCCCCCTCCACCTACCTAGATGAGTTAAAGCAGGTGGTTGTGGGACATGAGAGAGATTTAGCAAGGCCATAAATCTGGATTCGGCAGAGAAGACTTGTACCCTGCGGCCTTATACATTTTCCCAGCTCCACCTAATAGAAATATAATGAATGAATAAAGGAGATAATGAACCAGCGAAACAAATAAGTCATTATATTGATTTTAGAAAATCTAAATAGTAGATCAGTTGAGCTTAGCTATCAAAACCTAATTAAACATTTCCATAAAACACCAGTTTTAATAAAAATAATTCAGTTTGTTTAAATGATTATGCTGTTTTGAGTTTACTATGGCCCATTAAACCTTTAAACGTCTAAGCAGACCTCTACTGTAAGCATGAGTAGGTTCATAATGGGACTTTGCCCTTAGTGTGGGGTACTTTCAGGAGGAAAAGTGATGACTTTTGAAATCCGAGGCTTCAAAATGACAGAGTTATCTGAGCTGTGACACTGACAGCTCAAACACTGAATGAGACTCTGTGCCCAGCTCACAGAGGGAGCTCACTGCTCCAAATATTCTGGGGTGATACATTTTCGCAATGATTGGCGTTATGTTATTTAGGATGTTTTCAAAGACCAGCTGATTTTTGCTGTGCCCCCAGACATCTCTGGCCAGTATTTAATAACGGTCTGTTGCTATTGGTGGAATAGATGGCAGCAGAGACTGATCTAGAGGTGACATCTGACCTGATGTTACTCTCTGAGCTTTAGTTATCCTCTCCAGAATAGTCTTGCAACGTCTGGCACTGCCTGTGTTGCTTGTAAACTCTCACATACAACTCAAAGGCAACCAAAAACAATCACTGACCTTCCATTACACCATTAGTACTTGATCATGAGCGGGCGGGAGGGTGTAGCCGCTTTGATCTCTTTCTGATATGACCCACCCCGCTGCAGCTGCTCTCAGCTCTATTTTGGGGAGGCTGCTGCGGGCCTTCAGAACAGGGCTTCCTAAACACACACAGAAACAGAGACAATGCATGCAAACTGTCTTGTCTGGCCCAGCCCCAGCAACAGTCCTTTCAACAGTTTTGTGCACCTATGAACACTGGTTTCGGGATAAAAGCATGCTGATTATATGCAAGAAAACAAAACTGGAGTTTAATAAGTGATACATTAAACATATTTAGATATTTTTGTAGATTTAGGAATATCTATTTAATAGTATGTGAAATGCCTTTCATTTCTTATCAAATGAAACTTAAAATTGTATAAGGTTAAAAAAAAACTAAAGTAGTATGCTATTATTAGAGAAAGGAATGCTTTATTTTTTCTACATTCAGCCTTTTTTATTTTGACCATCTTAATAAAAACTAATCTAAAAACTGAGGTTTACACATAGTTCATCAAATAGTAAACAGAGTCTGCCTATGAGCAAGGTTCTCTCACTGTAGATACAGATGTTAAATGATGGCTTAGTGAAGAACATTGGTGACCATGAACCAATGAACCCATCGAATGGGTGAGAGAAAAAAATTTAGTCAGCTTTAAAGCATCCCTGGGTTATAAAACTCTGTTTTAAACTTTAACAGGTTTTCTCAATGAAAACAGATACCTAATGGCACAACTGTAAATGTACAAGGACACGGCTACCAACTGAAAGCAGTAAGGAGAGAAGCAGCAAAGATAAGCATGATTTCAAAATAATGCAATTATCCTTCCTTCACTGAAATTATCTTTTGCTAAGCTCATTACTTTAAAGAATCCTTTAAGGTTACTAATTTTAATCCCATTCTCATGTGTCCATTTTATACAGGTATGATTCCCTGTCTGTCCGTATCTTGTTTTTCTCACTAATGCTAATGTTTCCTTCCTCTTTCCTAATTGGTTCTGCAGGTCTGTTTACATTTTTTAGAATGACAAAGTCTTGCTGCAGTTCCACCACCATAAATCATTAAAAATGCAACATATAACCTTTATAGGAGGCTGGGAAAATATGGGAAAAAAAAATTATAGTGCTGTGATTTCTGTAATTCCTTGATGTGCAAAATTTGTAGAGATGTAGCCGATTAAACTGCAGCTAAACGTGTTTCTATTCTATTCTATATCTTTTCAGGGGAGCTGGAATAAAAATGACCACAATATTTCACCTGTAAAAAAAAGAAAGAAAATGAGCACTATGTTTCCTTTTCCAACCATTTAAAATGATACATTTGTGTGTCTTAGTCAATCACTGTTAATACCAATTAGGGTTGATTTATGCCCAGATTCAACACAGAAACCCTTTATAACATAATTTAACATTTATACATGAATTGTACATACTAAGAAACACCAATTAAATATAATAAAATTTGTCATATATCAGTTAATTGAATCCAACTGACCAATGTTTCAATAAAAAAGGCCCTTAATAAAACCAGGTCACATTTTCTAGTCATGATATGGAACAATGAGCGGGGATTCTGGCATTTCTTGCCTTCGAGGGGGAAAGGCCTGTCACAATGTATTTGG